CAATATTATGGAAGGTGCTGAGTGTCACACACAAATACAAAACACCATCACGGTAACACACATGACACTAATGAATAATACAACAAACATTTGTTTAACAACACTATAAAAGAAATGTTGCTTCATCTTAAAAAGTAAGCATTTGTGCTGCCTTAAAATGTTTATTCAACTCAAATATCCAAGTTGTGACATGGGAATGTCAGTTTAGGCTATGTTTGTTTTTAACTGTAAATTACCAGATGACTTATTATTTTTCAGTATTTTACACTTCTATTGCACTTCTATTACACTTTTTCACCATTTACAGCAGGGTTCCTCAATTAGTTTTCGCCGAGGGCCGAATTCTGCCAACAATACCAAGACAAGGGCCACAGTCACAGACCTATATATATATATATATATACAGTGGGTACGGAAAGTATTCAGACCCCCTTAAATTTTTCACTCTTTGTTATATTGCAGCCATTTGCTAAAATCATTTAAGTTAATTTTTTTTCCTCATTAATGTAGACACAGCACCCCATATTGACAGAAAAACACAGAATTGTTGACATCTTTGCAGATTTATTAAAAAAGAAAAACTGAAAAATGCTCAGTATTTAGTAGAAGCACCCATTTGATCTAATACAGCCATGAGTCTTTTTGGGAAAGATGCAACAAGGTTTTCACACCTGGATTTGGGGATCCTCCGCCATTCCTCCTTGCAGATCCTCTGCCATGCAAATCAACTGTTCCTGCTCTTTCCCAGACTGGATCTCTTTTCTCCACTTTTCCTAATTGCAGATTCAATTATTAGATTTGTCAGTATTCATATTTTTAAGCTTAGATTCTTTTGGGGGGATCAAACTCAAACTGTAACACCGTGTGTCCCAACCAGACACGACGCGATAAAAAGTATATTTTCCTTGTAGTTTTTGTCCTAACCACCCGCGACAGCGTCACGTGACAATAAGCGACATGGGATTCTATTTTAGGAACGGTTTTTATTTTCTGCGATGTCGCGGCAGGAACAACATACAAAATATTACCGTGATAATCTCAGGTAAAGATTGTGTGCTTTATTCAAAGTAACCAACACGTGTATTCCATAACAAAGATATCAGTCACTCACTCACTCACTCAAAACTGTTCAGTCCATTCACATTTGAATCATCTATTTTCCGTGTCCACTTTTCTTTTCTACACACTGACCATGTTTTTGCTGTCACATCTTATCTACACTGGACGCGGAAGCATTGCAAATCATTTGAGCGTTGTGTCAGTACATTATAAATAGAACGTGTCAGCAGTTTACTGTGGGGGATTTGTCGTGTCACGCCGCATCCAAGACAGCATCACTGATTATAACGAGTTCTATTGTATTTTATTGCGTGTAGACACGACGTAAGTTAATGTAGCTTTCTGATGCTGCATTTGAATTTTCATGCCACATTATTTGAAATTAGCGCTGGCCAAACTTTTTTCTCTCACGGGCCGGATGTGGCCCGAGGCCGCCCATTGAGAAACCCTGATATAAAGTAAGCGAACTTCCTGTTAACCAATTAACAGGTTTTTACTGTAAACTTTTTAGTCTTTTACCATTCAAATTATTAGAATTTTTTACAGTGTGACAAAAATTTACATTTGAATGAATGGCTGTTCAGAAAGACATGAACATTCATACGGCATTTTTATTTATTTAAATTCTTTAATTTTCTTATTTTATTTATTTATTTATTTTCATTTCTTTTTTTACAGAGATGTATCTAATCTCTTTTCTATTGCACTGTAAAGAAAACTGAAGATCTGTCCCAATGTAGGTCAAATATATGCACAGAATATAAACAGAATTTAAAAAAAAATGTTCCTAACACTACTATACTTATAACTGTCACGGTAGAAAGTATTTAACATGACTTCATATTTTTAACATTTGACTTCAGATCCAAGGCGTCATGATTACCTGCAAACTGTTGCTCCCAACTGTCATTATCGGAACACTGGCTGAGAAAATGTCACAAACACACACACTTATCAGTTTGATCCAAATGAAACATGACAGATTTTCTCTCAGTATCAGACAGCGCACACTTCACATACACTCCTTCAATCAGTGACCTTTCAGAGCATGTATCAGTAGCATGTATCCAAATTAATAAGCAATCCTGGTGATTCTGCAGCATTTAAATAAATTAAATGACATCAGCTTATTGATACTAAATCTGTTTTGGGAAGCAGCTCTAGTACTAAATGTGTGTTGGTCGAAGGTGTTTTGTGATGCATTAATGGTACTAGAACAGAAAGGGTAGTCAGCACAGGAAAGATCAAGATCAATAAACACATACTTTATTCTGCAATGCAGTGCTCATAACAGAAATTCAGCTTTCACTAGAACTGTATTCGTCTGGGTGGTGCATCAATCGATAAGAAAGAGTGAAAGATGAGAACTGTTCCACATTTATAGCCATGTCAAACAAAAGTGGGATCCAATAAAAGATTGCTTCAATCACTCAGAACCCAGTTGCATCATCAAACCAAATTTATAGTCAAATAGTTCTGGGAATGCTAAGGAAACAGACTGAATTCCCAAAGCACTGTGGCACTATTGGGAACTCCAACAGAGAATTCAAAGAGCCTGAGGGCAAACAGTATGCACACTGTACATTCCATTAATACAACACCATGTTTATCTATTTGCTATCAAACTTCAGGGAAAAAAACTCTGTGGGCACAGTTGCAACATTGAGTTCCCTTTCAAGGGAACTTCGAACTGCGTCCTCTAGGGGTCGCTATGGGGAACGCCTCGTCGTGACCCGTTTCTGAAGCATACATTCAAAAAACACCAACAACATGTTGGCCGGCGACAGCCCATGACGTCACTACCGGTGCGACTACAGTATAAATAGGCGCCGGGAGAACATGCCATTCTCTTCTTCGTCTTCACTGACCGTTTTGTTCTTCATTGACTGTTTTGTTTGAAGCGTGCATTCCGTGGTAAGAGCGATCTTTCTTCCTTCATTATGGCGAGCACTAGCAAGACATTTAGAAGATGTGTGCGTCTCGTTTGTCTCTCTTTTCGAGGAGAGAGGGGCAGCCGTCCGTTATACCAACATCGAGGGGATGCGCGAAAGTGGCTATGAGAAGATGCCCCCTGTAGAAGGTCCAGGTCTGAGCCCGAACAACCCAGGGGTCCTGGCCCCTCTCGGTCTGAGGATCAGAGACGGGCACAGAAGGCTAGTGTCGTGGCTCACGCTCCTCCCCCGCCTGCGGGTAGGGGTAGGAGGAGTCGCGGGTCAAAGGGAGGTAGGCAAGACATAAGGGATTTTCTAAAATCCTGTATGGTGATGGTTATGCGCGGCAGCTTCGTGCCCTTTCTTGAGTTGGTTAAAGCCACGGTTCCACCTTGGGCACCACTCCACCTATGTATCCTCTGGATACCTACTTTAACAGGGGGTTACTTATGTAACCATGGTTCCCTGAGTAGGGAACGAGACACTGCGTCCTCTAGGTTTCCTGCCATGCTTCTACTATAGTTGCACCAGTAGTGACGTCATGGGCTGTCGCCGGCCAACATGTTGTTGGTGTTTTTTCTGCCCATACAGTCCTGATTGCTAATGGTAAATGAACTTGGCTTGCTGTCCTCAATGAAGGCTCGAACCCGAGGCTCTGCTTGAGCTCTGAGTTCAATTATTCACTGAAAATCTTTCCCTCGATTGCAATTCACAAATGGCACTGTTTACTCTGCATACTGAAATTGCAAAGCTACAGTACTGTATCACTGCAGAACATGATTGTCATATTGCCTATTTTATTGGGTTTGGTCCTTTTTGGAACTTCTTGTGGCCACTATGAACTGTTCTAAGAAAATGAATGTGTACACCCATTGTCGTTCAACTACCGTGAGAGGGGAAAAAATGATATTTTAGCTAAATAATTTAAATTTATGGGCCCATTTACACTTTGTGTGTTTTCTCAAATCAGAGATCTGTTTATGTTAAAACTGTTACATTTACACCTGGCCACATAAATGTCTCAGAAAAAAAATTGTTATAAATCCAATCTTCAATTCCTGTGCTATATGCAAATTTGGAGATCATGTGACTGAAAGCAACAGATACTGTATGCTGCATTTTATTTTTCATCAGCTGATTTCAAAATCAAAGGCTGCAACAGTTGAGAGAGCGTCATCAGCACTTGTGAAAGAATTGGTGAAAAGCCTTTACCACATTTAATGAAAATGACTGTGTTGAACATGTGAAGATGCCACAGATTGAAGAGTTACGTTTGTGTTGTTTTGTGCATGATTGCTGAAGACAGATGCTCATCTCCAGCGGACCATACATGTTGAGATGTGTGTTTCATTAGTGCTGTGGTATATCACACTCTCACACATTTACTTTTTGCCATTTTAGGAAAAGTAAAATTTACATATGTGGCTTCAACAACCAGATGCATTTACACTTGTCCAGCTGCGCCTGGAATACATCTCAACCCACTTCCTGAAGTGGTTTATGTCGTCGGATTGCTATCCATATCGAATGCGTTTTGGAGAGCATTTAAACCTGGTCTTTTCATGATCTGATGGCTATCAAAGAAAACGCATGAGGAGACCAAGTTTACTGTAAATAGCTTATATTATACCATTGTTGTCTTTTGAGTTTGGTGAACTTTGACTTGCTAACCCACATAGCTAAAATATGTTTTACAAATAGAGGAACTGAAAACCATATATTGTTTTATGGTTTTTCTCTCTTTATGACCTATGATTTCTCACTACACCCATTTCATTGCTGTCTGTCTGGTGCAGTATTGAAAAAATATATACTTTCAGCCTTGTAAGTTCAAATCCAACAAGACATCTTGTCAGTTACCAGCATACAGCTTCAACCATTTTTGCATTGTGAAATGTCACTTGCGACACAACAGTCGACTATAACAGCTCTTCGGTGTATGTTGCAGTTCAGTTTTTGTTAATATTTTTCATACGAAAGCATTTTCGTACAGTTAAATCCACGACTTACTTTGCCTCCTTTTGAGCATCTTCTGTAAGTGTTTGTGACTCCTGCGGTCTGATTCATTCTCGATCACTGGAAAAGTAGAGGAAAATAAATCATCAACAAATATCCCAGCTCACACCAACACTGCGTCTACACCGTGACGCGATGCGTCAAAACTAGAACGCTGCTGTTAGCGCGAATTTTTACACATTTGAAAAACATTTTTTCAAACATCTAGTGCCGTCAAGTTCAAATCGTTTTAAAACGCTTCTCGAGAAGCATGCGTTATGCTCAGCTCCGTCCGACTGTTTTTGAACGCAAGAAACGCGTCCCGTACGAAACTGTCCACACTGAAGGAGTCTACAGAAGCGTTCTACGCGTCGTGTACAGTGCAGACGGAATGCAAAACTATAGCGCATTAAAATAATATTAACTTTACCTGTGTATCAACTTTACCTGTTCAGCCTTCTTTGAATGTCTTTGGAAGTCTTGAGGAGTTAAATTCAAACACTCGTCCTTAATATTCCCACTGATAAACACAGTCTTGAGAAAGTGTCCCAAGTTTGTTTCCACAAGGCGCAAACAAGGTGATTGAAATTGTTGAGCGGGTCGTGATGTCCTGTTTTATTGTTAATTGTTTATTGTCCGGAAAAAAAAAAAATCCTCGATAAGGAGTTATTAGATGTCAAAGTAAAATCAGAGCACTGTGGCCATTAATGCAGATGAGGAGAGATGGAGCAGAAGGTATTGCTGCACATGGCATGCAGAGAGTGCTGGAGTTACTCGCTCTCCTCGAGCTCTTCAGAGAGGAAACGACCTATTACTACTGCATAAACCCCGCATACATACATGTGAGTAATATGCACATGTAAATAGTATCCATATAGTTTCAAAATCCTAAAGCAATGCAATTGATATGATTCATATGATTTTAACAATAATTTAATAAAATAAAATAAAGGCTCTGATATAAAATTACACAATATCTGTTTATCCTACTGATAAACAGTTCAGAATTTCCCTGTAGATTTATTCTGCTTTACAAGAAAATGGAATCTGCTTTAAATTTGTTAAGAAGGATCTGTTTTTCCCTGTAGGTGAGATATGTGAAAACAAAACATGATGTTATTGGGGGGGTTAGATTGATTTTTTTTTTTTTAAACAACTAGACATAGACATAGATGTGTTTCTTTGATTGAATTGTGAAGTAAATAGTTAAGTAATAATTGCGACTGAGAGTTACTTATTTTGTTAAATTATTCAGTCAATCTAATGACCTCTTAGGTCTTGGAGCTCATAACATGATTAGATGGTAGATGTCTAATTGATAGGAATGAAATATAAGATGATCTTAAGTGTGTCTTTGTATTCGTTAATCAGACTGTGTCAAAAAAAAAAAAGTTGACATTACATAAAATATTACATAATATAAATTTGGACATTTAGTTTGTGCAACATAAAGTAGTCAATCAAACAGCAAAAACTTTCAAGTTTGGTGGTATTAGTTATTTAGAAATAATAATGTTTTAGCTTTGTTTGTTTTTTTTGTTTGTTTTTTTATTGTATTTTGTAAAAGTTGTATTATGTTTTAAGCCACCATTAGAGCATAGTGGTCTCTTAGACAAACTGAGTTCTACGTCACTATTTTGTCATATTAATGATCATATTAACTTGCTTCAATCACTCAGAATCCAGTTGCATCATCAAACCAAATTTATTGTCAAATAGTTCTGGGAATGCTAAGGAAACAGACTGAATTCCCAAAGCACTGTGGCACTATTGGGAACTCCAACAGAGAATTCAAACTCACCAAGGGAGCAAAATCAGACGCGCTCGTTTTCTCAGACACTTACAGAAAAAGGCTTACCTAAACAAAGTGATTGGGTTAATCTTTTTCACATTTCCTTGGTTGGTAGATGCACCAGGGACCTGATTATAGCACTTAAAACCTGGAAAAGTCAGATTTTCACGATATGTCACCTTTAACACATTTTTCACAATCAAATTCATTTCTGATTTTTCATTGTCTTGCCCTATGTTGCTCTTTTTTGTTTTTCAATAATATGTCAATTTTCAGTACACCACTGCCATTTTCACTCAGCAGAAGATTTAATAGCTACTTATTCTGAGATTTCATGAATTATTTAATTAGAAACCCATTCAGTTAATTTAAAAGGGGCTGAAAATGTACTCACTCTGTTACATTTGGAAAGTAAAATGGGTTGTAAATGCCATTTTGTGTTGACTTTTAACCTCTGCAGTTCATTTATAAAGTTCATACCCAAGATCTGTGATCTGAAAAACATAAAGATGCTTATTTTCTATAAGCTCCACCTGTCTTCCTGATGTGGAGGACGTCGAAGAGGTTTCGCCCCCTCAATCGCCAATATGAGGAGCTAGTGGAGGTGCTTACTCATGCCGTGGCCAAGTTAAAGATCGATTGGCCCACCGAGAAGCAGGCCGAGCCGCAGCGAAGCAAGTTGGATGAACGCTTCCTGCGCGCGAAGCCGCCACCTCCATGCCGGAGCCTGCCATTTTTCCCCGACCTTCACACCGAGGTGTCGAGGTCGTGGGCCAGGCCTTTTTCGGCC